TCCGCGCCCGCTCCGCGCCATGCCCGGCTCCATGTACCAGCCCGAGCCCGGGCAGCCGGCCCGCGGCCCGCCGCGCTGCCTCACCCTGCTCAGCCCGCCGCCGCCCGCCGGGCAGGAGCCGCCGCCGGAGCCCGAGCCCGGCCGGGAGCGGGAGGGGCCGCCGGGGCCGCCGGCGCAGGGCGAAGCCGCCGCGCTGAGGTTTGCCCTGGACCAGCTCTCGCTGCTGGGGCTGGAGGGCGCGGAGGAGCCGGCGGGGGGCGCGGGGCCGGGCGGCCTAAGGGAGCGGGAGCGCGGCGGCGGCTCCCCGGTGCCGGCCCCCGCCCCGGCCGCGGGCGCCTTCGGCAGCCTGGCCCCGCCGCTGGGGCCGCCCGCGCTGCTGCCCGAGCCGCCGGCGAGCAGGAAGAAGAGCGTGAACATGACCGAGTGCGTGCCCGTGCCCAGCTCCGAGCACGTCGCCGAGATCGTGGGCCGGCAAGGTAACGCGGCGGGGGGACACGGCGGGACACCGGGACCCCCCTCCCTCGCGCCGCCCGCCGCGATTTGGGGCAGTCGCGGGGCTTTGTCTCCGTGCGGAGGCGGAAACTTAACGGCGACAGATTCGCGGCCCCGAAAGTCGGCCGCGGGTCCCGGGAGCTGCGCTCCTGCCGGTCCCAGCGAACTGCCTGGAAATAGCAATTCAACTCCGTCCGCCCGGGTGGGATAGCGCCGGCTGCCCACGGAAAGTTCCCGGGAGCCACGCGAGTCCGTGGGAGCTGCCAGGACACGGAGCGAGGCGAGAGCTTTGCTTTCATTGTAGTTGTGCCTCTGCCCCCTCCCCTCCAGCTCCGTATCTCAGACCCGGCGAGTAAGCGGTGCTCCTTATCTCAGACCTCGTTTATAAATCCTACCGATAAATCCGATATAAATGGTCATTAACCCGCTCGTTTGTGGTGGCCGGAGCTCCGCGGGCCGCCCTGGAGCCCCTCGCACCCACCTGTCACAAAGGGACGCCCCAGCCCCCGCCGGGTGGGTGTGCCTGGAGTGGGCTTTGTCTCCAGGACGTACCAAATAAACCAAACTTTCGCCTTGAAAAATCACAAAGAAAAGACCCAGGGCGGAGGATTTAAGGGGGAAAAAGGAAAAGGAAGGGAGCTGCTGCCCGCAGGGATCCCGGCAGGAATCCCCTGGCAGGGAGCGTGACCTCCGGGCTGTTTTGCCCTTGTGGGGTCTGGCACCCCAGCCCTGCCCTCGCCCGGCGGCTCCCGGCCCTCCGTGCCCGGGGGGCTGCGGGCCGGGGGTCGGGGGGCTTTTTTTTCCAGGGGGGAAGCGGGGAACTGGGCAGCCTCATTGTTCTCTTTGTTAGCCAGAGCCATGCTGTGATGAGCGCGGTGACATCATGCTCTGCGCTTCCCATTGGCCTGCGCTGCCTCCCAGCCGGCCCCGCTTCCCGGCCTCCCAACTTTCCGTGCACCCCTCTGCGGTCCCAGCGCCCCGGCCGGGGGTCCCCCCGGGCTGCCCGACCCCGCCGGGCCGGGCGAGCGGCGGGGCAGAGCCGGGGAGCGGAGCGTGGCACCGCGCCCTGCTCCCGGGATTCTCCTCCTCCTCTTCCTCCTCTTCCTCCTCCTCCTCCCGGGCTGGATGAGACCTGGATTTGGTGGCCTCGCCGCCGGGCTCAGCCGAGCCGCGGGGTGCGGCGGGTGACAGAACCTGTGCCGGGGCTGGGCTCTGCCGGGAGCCGCTGCTTCTGCCGGGGAATGGCTGCGTTTGGCCCGGGAGCTGCCGGTCCGTGCCTCCCTTGCCCTGGGTGTTTCGGTGTTGTGAGACCCCGGTGCTGCCCCTCCAGCACCCCGAAGAGTTTGGGGCACAGCCAGGTACCTGGCCAAACACCTTGGTGGAGTTTGGGTGCTCGCTAAGCTTCGTGGACTTGTGAAACTTATGGAAAAAAATACTGCCGAAGAAATTATTATATTGACTTGAGGAGCAGTGCTGGAGGGGCACCGTGTGGGCCTGGAGGTGATCTGGGGCCAGCTGTGAGCTGAAGCTCCTGCTGCAGCCCCAGCCCATGGGCAGGAACAGCCCTCTCCAGGGGTTTCCCTTTGTGTTTCCTGCTCCTCTCCTGCTCTTGGCCTGCCGGGATGCAGCCTGGTGGCCTTGCACTGGGTTTTTGCTGAGGAGGGGCACTCAGCGCCCTCGGCCACCCTGTGGGATGGGCAGTGGGCAGCACGGGGTGGCAGCAGTGTCTGTGCTCCAGCTGATCTCCGTGCCTCTGGCAGCTGGATTATAGCAAGGATGCTCAGGTGTAGCCTGAGCAATACCGAGCTTATTCCTCAGGGCTCACACCGAGCAGAGCCCTTCTCACTCACCCTGTGCTGTTCTCCCTCCAGACCTGCTGGTTCCCAGGGCCCCCCTGCGAGTCTCCCTCAGTTTTGGAGCCCTGTGGCAGTGAGGTCTGGCTGTAGGGCTGAGCCTTGGGGTGTTTGGCTGGACCATCATCATCGTGGTGACAAAATATGCCCTGTTGGTGACACTGCAGGGCTGGATTGGGTCACCTAGATCATTTCTGTGTCACTCTTGTCCTTGCCTCACTGCCCAGCCTGGTCCTGACCCAGGGAGTAGAAATTTGTGGTGCCACCATGCCTGGAACATGGGGAGGGATGAAGATGTGCATCTCAAGTGCCCTGGAAGGGGCTGGAGTCGGGGCAAGGCTCAGGATCCCTCCCCACACACCTTGGGGCACTTTGGGACCCGTCCTGCTTTGCCCAGACCTGGCTGCTGTGGCAAGTGGGGACCAGGGAGGTCCTGGCAGCCAGGAGCACACACGGATGTCCGGTCCTCTGCAGGCTGAGATGGGACACAGGCGCTTGGACACAACTTCTCCTACTTCTTTTCTTCAGTTTCTCTCCTTCAGATACCCTAATTTAACCCTTTCACAAAGGAGCAGCAGCAGCCTGTCAGCTAAATCTTTGTTCTCTAAATCAAATTGGTGTTTTCTTCCCTGAGCTGGAGGAGTGTTTGTCATGAGCCCATGTCTGGATTGGCATCGGTGCCACCACAGAGCAGCATCTGCCTGCTGGGATGTGGGGCTGCTCTCCCCCCTGCTCACATGGCTGGGGTGGGATTCCCTGGCTGTGCCTTCGCCTCCCAGCCTGTTCATGACTCCTGCTGTGGGAGGGACCATCTCCAAAAAGTGCTGTGGCACCCACTGGAGCAGCGTGGGCTCCTCTTGCCATCCAGCAGAGAGAGCCTTGGGGATAACAGGAGTCACCAGGAGCACGGGGCAGGTGTTAGAGATGCCCTGGCTGGCACCTGGGCTCTGTGCTGCTGTGGATTCCTGCTGTGCCAGCTTGGGAGGGGCATTTCCAGCAGTGTCTGCTTTTCCCTCCCACACCAGGTGCCTCCCATGGGATGGAGCCACGGCTCCTCTCCCCATCTGTGACACCTGGGGACTGTCACAGCTCTACAGAAGGAAAGTTGCTGTTTATAGAAGATGCTGGGACGCTCAAATCCAGGGAAGGATGGCACATGGCACCTCTCCTCACCGCTGGAGTGTGGCTGGCATTGCAGTGCTGAGAGGATGCACAGGGTGACCATGGGCCCCTCTGGGCCAGCCTGGGCACCTGTAACCTCACCGTGGCTCACAGGGGTGCAAGGAATCCTCTCGTTTTGGAGCCCTGGCTTGCTGCTGTCTGTTGGCTCCTGCCAGGTGCCATGTCCCTGGAGGCACCTGGCACATCTTCCTGGCTGGGTCGTAGCAGAGCTGGGAACTCCTGAGCTTGGTCACACAGATGGATGTGGTTGCTGAAGGATCTGCCTGTACATCTGAGAGCTGGCACTGGCTGCACACTCTGTCCCCAGGAGAGGAGCCCAGCCTCCCTGCCCCTCTCTTCAGTGTCTGGAGAAGAAGCCAAGGTGTGATGTGCTGGCTTCCTGCAGCAGGGCTGCAGGGATGAGCTCGTTCTTGTGTGCAGAGTTGGGAAGGAGCACTCAGCAAGGGGAGAGGAGCTGTGGTGGAGGTGCAGCGTTTTCTCCTCCACACCTGGCCCCTGTCCTGGCCTGTCCTGTGCCATTCACTGGGGACCAAGGGGACCAGGAGCTCCAGAACTCTGGATCAGAGGCCAGGAGATGCTGCAGAGCTGGGGAAGAGGAAGAGCCATGGTGAGGGACCAGAGGGTTCCTGAGTCTGTGACAGACACCATCCTCCTGCCTGGTGCCATCAGAGGCTCCTCCAGAAAAGCTCTGCTGGCCTTTCTTGGGTTTTACCAGCTCAGAGCTGGGCACTGCCAGCACAGACCTCCTTGGTCAAGCTGAGATGTGGCCTGGGCAAGGGCATGAGCTGGCTCTGTCCTCCTCATGGGCAGGAGGCACCTGATGTGGGAGCAGAGGCTGCCAGGGCCGTGCTGGGATCAGGGTGTGGATGAGCTGTGTGGGATCCATCGTTGGAGCATGGGGGATGGAGAGGTCCTTCCCAGCCCTCTCTCCCAGTGTTTCCTGGTTTTCATGGGCTCTTGCAGTGGTCTCAGCCCTGATCTGTCAGGGGCTTCTCACAGCCAAGTTTGCTGTGGTGATGCCCAGTGAGGATGTCCAGGGAGAGCAGCTGCCTTTCCTGCTCCATCACCACATTATCCCGGGGAGAACTCCCTGGGATTCTGTTCCCTGTCAGAAATGAGCCGTGTCCCGTCCCAAGGGCAGGTGGGATGGGCTCAGCCAGGGCAGCTCTGCAGAGTGCAGTGCAATGTGAGCCACGTGGGATGGGGAGAGGGTGAAAGAGGAGGGCATGGAGCTGAGACAGAGTTTGGGAGGAGTGTCCTTCTCACCCCCATCGGGGCTGTCCCTGCAGGCACAGCTGGCTGTGGTGGCACAGGGGGCTGTGACTTGGAGGGGGGGTGACACCTCTGGGATGCTGGGGTTTGCTGGCAGCTGAGTGTGGCCTGAGGGTGTCAGGATGAGTTTGTGCCCACGGGGACTCAGAGCTCTGCCAGAGATGTGACAGCAGCTGAACCACTCTCACCCAGGCTCTGGTGTTCACAAAGGGCTGCTGGGGCTGGAGCATCCCCGGGTCTGTCCCCTCTATCCCCTGGTTTTGGGCTGGTTTTATTTGAATCTTTAGAGCCACGTCGGTGGAGGCTTGCAGCAAAGTCTGGCACGTTGTTCTGCTCTGCTGCCATTGGTGCTGCACAGCAGCCCTTGGCCAGGGGAACGTGTGGGTGCCACCTGCTGCTGCTGGGCTGAGCCCTGGCACTGCCTGGGCTGGGAGCTCACTGGCACTTCCAGGCAGCTCCAGGTCCTTTCCACAGCCCCCTCGGGCATGACCCTGGTCCTGCAGCACCTTCACAGGGATGTGGCCATCCAGGATGGACTCACAGCGTGCTGGGGTGGAGGTTTGCAGGGGCTCATCTGAAATGGCTTGTGCTGGTCCAGATCATTGCAAGTACAAGAAACCCTGGATCCCTGGCAGTGCCCAAGGCCAGGCTGGACAGGGCTGGGAGCAGCCTGGGAC